GGCTCTACTTCATCACCTAATCACCTCCCATATATGAATTCTAGGGGAACTCAAAACTCACTCTAGAGCACAGAAGGCAAGGCCTGTGCTCAGGCCTATAGATCTGGGAATGCCAATGTGGGATCAGAGCCCAGGCTGGCCCACTATGGAGGCCCTATCTGCAAAATGCCCTGATACTTCTGTGATTCCTTCTGATCACAAAGGCCTCTCTCTACCTGGTAACCTGTGTCTCTCCAGAGTCATTTCTCACTCTTGGATCTCTAAGAAGTCCTTATGAAGTGCTCTGCTAGCTGACAGGGATGAACAAGATGCTGGTGCCATTTGTGCCCTAGATCAAGGTAAGAGAGATGTAGAAATCCAGTCCTTGTCTTCTGGAACCTGGTGAACCCTGGCCCCAGTGTGTGCCTAATGAGGAAGGGCCATTTTATTGCAATTCTAATACTAGATCATCCTTTCCCACACAGGCACATCTAGGAGGTAGCTGAGCCCTGGGACTGATGGCTCCTTCCTCCATGCCTCACCAGCCCAAGTGCTCAGGCAGATTTAGTGTTTCTGTTTTAATATTTAAATCTTTGATCCATTTTGACTACAGTTTTGTGCCAGAATATCAAAAGCAATTCTGGAAAACAAAGGAAAGGCAAGAGGCATCACAATCCCTGACCCAAAATTATACTATAAAGCACTGTGATAAAATCACATGGTGCTGGCATAGAGACATACCTAAAGATCAATGGAACAGATTAGAGGATGCGGACACTACTGCAAATGAACTCAGCCACCTTCTCTTTGATGAAGGGGCTAAACAGTCTCACTGGAAAAAAGATAGCCTCTGACTTTCTACATGCTGAAGGATAAAACTAGACCCATGCCTATCACCATGCACAAAGCTACAGACAAAATAGATCAAAAATTTAAATATTCAAACAGAAACAAAATCTTCTGGAGGAAAATGTAGGCAGAAATCTTAAAGACATAGGGATAGGTAGAGAATTCATGAACAAAAACCAAACTGTAAGGGAAATATTTCAAAGAATCAACAACTGAGATCTCATCTTTTTGAAAAGCTTCTGCACTTCAAAGCAAATCTCCGGGGCTGGGGAGATGGCTCAGTGGAATGAACGCTTCCCTGGCAAGTGCAAGGGCCTGAGTTCAATCCTCAGTTTTGAAAAAAAAAAAAAAAAAAGCAAATATCCAACAGAGTAAGAAGAAAACCAACAACTGGGAAAAAAATTACAGTCAACTGTCCTTTAGACAAAGGCCTTTTCTCTAGAACATACAAAGAATTAAAAGCAGGATCCCCCCAACTAAAAGACCCAATCCAAAAATGGGCATCTGAGATTAATACACATGTCTCAGAGGAAGAAATACAAATGGCAAGTAAATATATGAAAAAATATTCAAAATCGTTGGTCATTTGAGAAATGCAGATTAAAACAACACTGAGATTCCATCTCACCCCAGAAAGAATGTTTAACATCATGAAGTCAGCCAATAACAAATTCTGGAGAGTCTGTGAAGAAAAAGGAAAGCTTTTACACTGTTGGTTGGGAGTACAGACTGGCAATACCACTGTGGAAATCAGTGTGGAGATGCCTTCAAAAGCTAGGATTGGAAGTCCCATTCAAGCCAGCTATTTCCCTCCTCGGTATTTTTCCAGAAGAACTGAAAACCTCATACCACAGTGATATATGCGCACCCATTTTATAGCAGGGGAATTTGTTATAGCTAAATCCTGGAAACAGCCCCGATGCCCATCAACTGAAGAATGGATAAGGAAGATGTGGTATTTTTACACAATGGAGTATTATTAAGCTATGAAACAGGATAAATTTGAGTCTTTTGTTGGTAAAAGGATGCAACTAGAGAACATACTCTTAAGTAAAGTAAATCGGACCCACATGTGCAAACATTGTATTGTCTCCTTAGTGTAGAACCTGAAAGAAAAAAATGGAATCTGAAGAATACAATAGACCCTGAGAAAAGGGAATGAGCTTATTCAAAAAGAAAGAGTTACTGAGTTGAAGAGAGGAACAAGAGAAGGAGTGGGGCAAAGAGATTTATCTATGTATGTACGCAAGATGTTTCAACAACTGCACTGTGCATTTCTTTTGGTCTATGGAAGAAGCAGTTAATGCTTTAATTTGTTTCAACTCTGTTTTTCAATTGTTTGTACTTTTTCTCTCTTAATTTCTTATAATTTTTTCGTTTTTTTCTTTCTTCTTCCAACTTTATGTGCATATACCTGGTAATATGAGTAACTGGTTGGAAGACAACATTATAACACTATATAATGTGAAATTCATATTACTTTGTTAAGTGGAAATCTGTATTGCTTGCAACTTTTTCTGTTTTAATTCTAATTTGTACTCTCTTTAAAAAATAAAAATACTAAAAAACAAAACCAAACAAACAAAAAAACAAAGTGCTCAGGTCGGTTCATCTCCTGCGTCTCCACTAGGTTGTAGCTTACTGAGAGTAGGAACTATGTCTTAGATGTCATTGTATATAATCTAGCATAGTAGTGTCATACTTTTGCTTGAGGTTTGTTGAATAAGTGGATAAAAATATGAAGGGAGGAAAGGAGAACCCTAGGTATATTTTTGAAATTGGCAAGATTATTTCATTCTGTTCTTCATCCATACAACAAATCTTTATGGAATACCTACTACTTACCAGTCACAGTGTAAGTGGTGGAGCTACAGAGACACCTCAGATATTCTGGCTCAGGCCCACGAGAAAAAACTCACTTATTCTTTTCTACCACTTTATACAGAGAAGGGGAACTACAGCGTTACATCAAACTAGCTCTTTAAAACACTCTCCTGTTTCCTGAGCTTATATGCTTCCAGGAATCTGGTTATTTAGCATGCTCAAAGCAGAAAGAAATTTTTATGAGCAACATGGGAAGAGTTGATAGATACTGTTGTCCACAGAATGTGGGGAAACCCAGATTTTAGAATCCGTGCTTTTCATCACATTTCCCATCAGCTTGTTTTTCTGAGGCACCCGCTGTAGTACACAGGCCTGAGCTTGGCTGAACTCCGGGCAGAATCCTTTCACATCCACAGCATCAGTCTCCAACCATGTAGAGCAGAGACTAGAGCTAATTGCACCCTGGATTGTCACTGAAAGGAAGTTTGTAGCTCATGGGTGAGAAGCAAAGTGTGTTGCATATCCTGTGCAGCACCTAAGGGGCTCAGTGGGTGGGACCTCACTAATGACTTGGATGTAGCAGTGTAATTTCCTGGACTCTGTGGTACTCTGATGTTGCCTGCTATTAATGCCACCACAAAATATCCTTTAGACATTAAATGCATAATATATTTTTCAGTATTGTTTTCTTGGACATTAGGCAGTATCCATTATGCTGCACATGCTGGGCTTAAGAGGCATCTGCTGCTCCCACTTTTAGGGATTAAGGTAAAAATATAAATGAAGTGTTATGAAACACTGTATAAATCAGCAATGTCAACAGAAGCCCATAGCTTCCCTTAATAAATAGACATGTCTAAACATTTTAAGATGGATTGGTTTGACATTTGTGGTTTTATAAGAAGAAGAAGAAACTCAAGTTAGCTCTCTTGCTCTTTTGTACCAGGTGGTGCCTTCTGCCTTACTCTGTCTCAAGTATTTTGTTATAGCAAAGAAAATGGACTGAGAACTAATTGTTAATGTACAGAAATGCAACTGAATTCTGTGTGTTGACCTCGTATCCTGTAAGATTTTCAACTTATTAGTTCTAACAGGATATTTGTGTGTGTGTGTGCGTGTGTGTGAATTCTTTAGGCTTTTCTGTTTATAAGATAGTATTATCTACAAACAGATAATTTGACTTAATTTCAGCTTTTTAAAATTTTACTTAAGTTTTCCAGTTTGGAGGATTTTCCCCCTTAGTACTGGGTAATGACTTCAGGGCTTTCTCCATGCCAGACAAATGTTCTCTTCCATTGAGTTGAACTGCCAGAAAATTACTGCAGCTTTCTATCTAAGAAATAATTGGGTTTTAAAGAGGGATAGGATGGGGAGAAACAGATGTTTGCAACATATTTTGCACATAGAATAATGATAACACCAAAGAAAAGATGCAATGTATTGACTTGGATCTGAATTTTGAAAGAGAAAAGTTAAGGAGAATGCCTAGGTGTATAAATGAATCAACTGGCTGAATCATTTGCTTAAATGCAGAAGATGGAGGAGAACAGGCTTGAGATGAGAGAAAAGCTCTGTCAAGGGCATATTAAACTTGGCTATGGTTGTAGGTAAGGTAATCAAGAAGGTGGGAGGGAAGAGGTCACAAGGCAGATTTTTGGGGAAAGGTCATAGTTAGAAAATTGTTGGAAAAAGAGGTCCCAGAAAAGGAGAAACACTCTGAGGAGTAGAAAAAGAACCAGGAACAAGATGGAGTTTCAAGAAAGTATCCATGATTAACTGCAGACAAGAGGGGAAGAAAGACAAAGACTGAGCAAGCACGTTTCACCTGGGTAACAAGGAGGTCATTGGCAGCCTTTGCAGGGAGGCTGCAGAGATGAACACAGCTTCTTCCTGGTGCATATGTGAAAGTGTGGGGAGGAAGGAGCACTCTAAGCAACTCCCCGAAGCTGTGCATTAAGGGGGTGCCCTTATCATGGCAACAGGAGTCATTTAGGAGAACTAAGAGCCACTTAAAACCTCTAACTTTAGCCCGTCACATTGCATCTATCTCATGTGAAAGATGCTGATAAAAAACCAAAACAATAATAGCAGAAACCAGTCATGAGAGGGCAGGGCAACCCATCTCAGAGTCCTTTCCCTTAGAGATCATCCCTAACTGGAAATCTTCCCCTCTTCTTAAGAAGGAAGCAGACACCAACCCCCATAGCAACTCTGCACAGCCCAGAAGGCCAGTGCTAATCACAGTTCCTTCTTTTCTCCCTATTGGCTGACACTGTTCATAAAAATATAGTTTGTTGTTCCACGTTTCTTTTAAATGAACAAGCTGAATTAGTTGGAGGAGAGAGACAGAGAGAGAGAGGAGACAGAAGCCACGGCATCTGAAGGGCAGGAACTTGCAGGTGGGCATTTTAACTTTAGAGAATTGTTGAAAATTGTGTCCTTTCACTTCACAGAGAAATGAATAATCTGTGAAAAGAAAGCTTCTATTGCTCTATAAATGTTTTCCTACCATATATGTGGTACTTTAAGAATATTGAGAAAGCTCAAAAAATAGAAGGAAGTAAAAATCACAACTGAGATAGTTCTGATTGGCATTTTGGGGGTATTTTCTTTCATTCTGTGTGTGTGTGTGTGTGTGTGTGTGTAATTTTAGATTGATTTTTATAATTGTCCCTATACAGTGCAGAGAAGTTTATATCCATTTCTTCCATCAAAGCTTATATTTTTATGAACACTTCATAATCATAATTTTAAAATGTTGCCTAAGATTGCATCAAGGATATTTGCTATACCCAAAAACATTCTTCTATTTTTGAACATGTAACATCTTTCCTATTTTTCATCTGTCTTATTTTACACTATAAAATATATTTTTTTCCACTCAGGATCTTACTTTTGGGGAAGAGGAGTTTAAATCTGAGCAATGTGCATTTCAGAAGTGTGAGAGTGGGGGAGCGTGATCTGTTCGTCACCCCAAGACTCTGTCCGTGGCTCTCACTCAGCTCTGGCAACACAGCCAACTCAAGGTTTAAAAAATTGTCTCTTGAAGAATTGAAACTTAATGTTTAAGGACCAGCCAGTCATTTGTAATGTTTTGTTTTGCTTTCCAAAATCTTCCCAATGTTGCTCAGCATAAAAACAAGAACCTAAGTCCCTGGAAATATTTTCTTGTTTTCTCATTATGCTTGAGTGTAATATGTATTAATAGCAAAATGGTTACAATTTTAGCCACGCCACCCAAACTTCCCTTTCCATATTATACAAGTCATGCAAATTATAGAGTTAATTTGTGGAACTCATAAGACTCTTAGAAATTTCTGTCACCTACTGCAAGCACATAAACTCTTAAGACGAGAACCTATTTCAGAGTTTCAGTTTACTAATGCTTTAAGGAAGTGGATTTGTTTTTATTGCTGTGAAAGTTAGTGAGAGTACTTGAGGGTCTAGAATACTCTAAATGTATCAAAATTAGGTACTTGCCAATGCAGCCCAGACTTCTTTTCTTCTGCATTTTTGTTTTTAAGATTAAGCATTAGGCACATATAAGCTGGCTAATCACAAATATAGCACTGGTACAGCAAAGAGAGATAGGATTTGGTTTTAAGGCAAGCGATGGCTTGGCTTTCTAGGAGCATCACAGAAATGGTACTTATGTCCTCATATAAAAACACAAAACTTATGCCAGGGCTGGCTTTTCCTTTAAGAACTGAGAACAGACAAAAACTTCTAAACCCGGTTAGAGCAAATGCTCTGTATTATTATCCTCCACAGGGATGTTCTTATTTTAATTCAACTTGACTTGATTGGGAGTGTGTTAACTACACATTCTTCTTCTTGTTATTCCATGGAAAAGAGCATCTGTTTTCTTTGGTAAGTAGAAACATTCAGGTAGTACTTTGCTACTTAGAAACATGTCTGCACACATAGTGAATCCGATATATGTGGCAGCCTCAAGCTCTGGACCTCTTCCCTCTTACTTCTCTTACTTTTGTGTACCTTACCTACAACCATAGCCAAGTTTAATATGTCCTAAACAGAGCTTTTCTCTTTCTATCCCAAACCTATTCTCCTCCATCTTCTGAGTCAAAATAACCGTGAAATGTAAACATTTTTAGTTGATTCAGGACATAAAGACAGCCATGAGAGGAGAGTGTAACTGAGGATCACAAAAGTGAAATTCCAAAACCTCAGGAAGTGGCAAGAGAAATGGGACAAGTATGTCTGAAATGAAGGGAAACATTCTGAAGGGGATTAATCACTGTGTCTTTTTCTTCATGTGTCAGAGTGAATAGTTACATTCTGAACCAGAGCAGGACCTGGGCACCCACAGTCCCTCCCAAGGTCACACCCAAATGGCCTCCCTGTAGGACTACCTTTTATTATTATTATTATTATTATTAATTATTATTACTATTATTCTGTATTTTAGGGAAGGGTGTACAGGGTGTTCAGGGTCTCACTAGTAGATTGGACTTGTAGTGATCCGCCTGTTTACAGCCTCCCAAGAGCATGGCTGACACTGATAAAGGATCTACAATCTGAGGCACAGGGTCTCAGGGTAAATCCTGAGGGAATTTCACTGACCTTCTCAGATCCAAAAGCTACAACTCTTGTTGCATAGGTCTTGCTTTATCTTGGTCTTAACCATCCAACAGAAAAGTATAAAAATGAAGTATAAAAAGTAAAGCCATGCTGTTATGTTGAGCTGTAGGGGACTCAGGTCAACAATTTCTGACATTGCCAGGCAAGCAGAAGACACAATACTATTATGGGCTACTGGACTCTTTTAGAATATTTTGCTGAGTTAACACACCTATAATATTCAAATAACAGAACTAAACAAAAAGGGGGATACAGATGAATGTCCATTTTTTTTATCTGTGTATTCAAAATGGTTAGGATAGATATATAGTTACATTCTCTTAATGAATAGAGGGATTTGTTCTAATAGTGTTTGTAAATAGGATATAATGTCTGCATCTTGTACAGCAAATAATCACTAGGAAGAGAGTATGTAATGTGTTAATTATTGAAACTGTCTTACCAATTTGATTTGAAACTGTCTCATTACTATTTGTTTCTCAATAAAATTATGGAGGCAAAAAAAATTATGGAGGAAAAACAATTTTAAAAAAAAGAGCTGGGATTACAGGTGCACGCCACCATGCCCAGTCTCAGTCACCATCTCAGTGAGCCCTGGGAGCGGGGCCAGCACAGCAGGCCCAGGGGATCGAACCCCCTGCCCCTGTACCCGCTTGCAGGCACTTTAATCCATTGAACTACTTGGCCAGCCCAAGAACTACCTTTTAATGTTCACTGCAACTCCCAAAACCACCATCCTGCACTCAAAGCCTTCAATTTCAACACGGGACATTCCAGTTAAAGCATATCTAAAAGATAGAAGTTTTGAACTAGCTTTTGCTGATCTTGTCTTTCTTTTGCTGTGTTGGGAATCACTCAGTTGCAGAGTAATCCTGACTGTATTTAGATCAGACATTGGATTAATAGCAGATATCTCAAGTCTTTCTTAATATGCTGATACAATACATTGGAAAGAAAACTTGAATTTCTCTTAAAATTAAATCTACTGCATCATAAGGTTATATATTATAGTAGCCAAAGAGAATTAAGGAAAACTGAGAGGCAGCGAAAATGCAGAACTCGGTCAAAATAAGGATCTTTATTTTTTTAAAGATTGGAATTTTATCTTTAGTGAATGCAGAAATCTCAATACATGTTTTCTCTGTGTTGATTTGTGTTTGTTTACTGTAGTGGCTGAACATGAAAGAAAAGCTAGCATGGGGAAAACATTAGAGAAAAAAACAAGGGGATTTAGTGAGACAGCAGCTGTATGAAGGCTGGCAGAGACGCCGCCATGCTCTTGGCTTTGGTGGCAGAAGTATTTTCTCACTTGCTTGGGTGCCAGACAATGTTAATCCCTACTACATCCATGAGGATCACGTAGATGCATTTGTCCCCCAAAATAATGAAAGAAAGAATAAAATCATGGGAAACTCTAATTTTTTTTTTTAGTTTTTATTTTATTTTTTATTTATTCATTTATTTTTGTATTTAGTACAAGGTCTATAGGTTCTTACTGTACAGATCGTACTTGTAGTGATCCTCCTGTTCTCAGCCTCGCAAGTGCTGGGATTACAAGTGCCTGTCACCATGCCCAGTCTCAGTCACTGTCTCAGTGAGCCCCGGTGGCAGGACTGGCATGGCATGCAGGGGATTGAACCCCGGTCCCTGAGTCTGTCCAAGCAGGTGCTTTAATCCGCTGATCTATCTGCCTTGCCCTTGCAGTTTTTAAAATGTAGGAGAAAAAACCTCAAAATGAGTATGAGTTGTTTGACTTGAGAATTGAACTGAGAATGACTTCTACACGTTATCTCCATTATGTTTCTAAAGGTACTACCCAAGAGACAAAGATAGCTCTAAGTAAAATATGCATTTGTTTTGCAGCCTTGCCCTTGAAGCTGCATCCCATTTGCTCCTACCAGCATCTTAACATGAGACGTTTACAATCCCCCTTCAGAGTCAACTGCTGGTTTGCTTTCTTTTTATTCTTTTTTTTTTTTTTTTTTTTTTTTGCCAGTTACATTGT